TTTTTTTTTTTTTTTTTTTTTTTTTGAGACAGAGTCTTGCTATGTTGCCCAGGCTAGACTTGAACTCCTGGGCTCAAGTGTTCTTCCTCCGTCAGCCTGCTAAGTAGCAGAGACTACAGGCACACATCACCATGCTCAGATCTTTTCCTTTTAATAATACAATCATCCCTCAGTAACCATGAGGGATTGGTTCCAAGACCTCTTGTGCAAGTCCCTGATATAAAAGGGCATAGTATTCACATATATCCTATGCCCATCTTTCTGTGTACAGGCATACCTCATTTTATTGTGCTTCAACAAGGATATTATGTGTTTTTTTTTTTTTTTTATAAATTGATTGATGGTTTGTGGCAATCTTGTGTTGAGCAAGTTTATCAGAGCCATTTCCCCAAAGCATAGGCTTATTTCGTGCCTTTGTGTCATGTTTTGGTGATTTTTGTACCATTTCAAACTTCTTTATTATTTTTTTAAACTTAAAAATGTTTGCTTTTTAAATCATGAAGTATTTCCACATACTTTTTCATTATTATTCTGTTTTGGTGATCTGTGACTAGTAATCTTGAATGTTACTATTTTTGTGTTGAGATGCCATAAACCATACATACCCATATAAGATAGTGAATTTAATCAATAAATGTGTATGTTCTGATTGCTGTAGTGATTGACCTTTTTCCTTTCTCCCTCTCCTTGGGCCTTCTTATTCCCTGAGACACAGCAGTATTGAAATTAGGCCAGTTAGAAACCTTGCAATGTCCTCTGAGTGTTCAAGTGAAGAGTCCCACACCTCTCACTTTACATCAAAAGCTGGAAATGACGAAATTTAGTGAGGAAGGCATGTTGAAAGCTGAGACAGGCTGAAAACTAGGCCCCTTGGCCAAACAGTTAACCACGTTGTGAATGCAAAGAAAAATTTCTTGAAGGAAATTAGAAGTGCTACTCTAGTGAACACATGAATTATAAGAAAGTGAAAAAATTATTGCTGATATGGAGAAAGTTTTCGTGTTTGAATGAAAGATCAAACCAGCCACAAAATTCCCTTAAGCCAAAGCCTAATCAAGAACAAGTCCTAATTCTCATCAATTCTAAGAAGATTGAGAGAGGTGAAGAAGCTGCAGAAGAAAATTTGAAGCTAGCAGAGGTTGG